GAGCGTCCTTTTCTCGAATCATCCTCAAGCGTTTCACGGCCACTCTTGAATCGTGCATATCACAAGAACACTTTACTACCTGCTAGACAATCTTTTTCAAATGCATCTTGCATCATTTAGTATGTTTCTGTTGCAGTTTTTCCACATTTAAAACAAAACTTAATCAAGGTTTTATTTTGAAAATCATGACAACGTTAAAAATTTTTAAAAATTTTGAACGTACGCAAACTTTAAACTATTGATTCAATGGTGGCAAAAAAATATGGCAAACTCAAGAGGCATTACAGTAACTAGATCCAGTGTAGGCCAAGAGATAGCGCAGTTAGTACGTCCAGAAAATAATCAGTCCCCGAACTTTTTAAATGCACTGTGTATTGTAAATAAACATTACAGTTGGTGAAAACTTCGATTTCTTACTTTACTGTCATATATTCAACGCATTAATAAGGTAAAAACAAAAATAATAGCGAGTAATTTATAATCTGACAAAAGTTTAGTTAAATATAAACCTCAAAATTACAATTGTATTACATTTAAAAGTTAAAAGTGGTTTATTATTAATTAGTTTCCCATAGTTTGTATTTAAATAGTTATAAGAGAGAGATCTCCGAAAACACTTGGTCGTTCACGTTAAAACCGGAATTTAATTTTTAAATAGGTAAAGAGACAGAATTATGACCAGTAAAGAACATTTATTCTTCAGAGTAATCTCCATTTACATCACAGCATCGATGTACCAATGCGTTAATATCAGCAGAATAGAAGGATTTATCCTGACGTCTGAACCACTGTAATACACACGTTTTAAACTCATCTTCTGACTGAAGCGCCTATCAAATGTTCCTTTAAGGGACCAAACAGATGAAAATCTGAATGTTTGTAGTTCTTTCCTGGTTTTTTCGGAGATGTGTGTTACAGTGGTACATTTTCGGGGAAAATGCTGTGATATAAACGGAAATCACATTGAAAAATAAATATTATTTATTCATCATAATTTTGTTTCTTTACCTGTCTATAAATTAAATTCCGGTTTTGACGTGAACGACCCAAGCATAAATACATATATTTAATTAAAGATATTACATAAATGTCACATTTTCAATACATCATAAACTTTGAATCAAATATAAAACATTGATATATATTTATTTAATTTCACATTATTCTCAACTTTTATTTTAACTTGTGTGATATACGTACTGTCACATTACTTTTAATGAATAATTTATGTATTGTTAATGTTTGCTAAACTTTTTTATAGCTTAATTTTCTTTACGATAAATAAACTATGTGCAAATGAAATATCAAGATTTGAGAAATAAAGCTGTTTTCAGTAAAAATCATATTACCTTTAGGTATAACTTGATAATTTATATGTCTTCTGTATGTAAACCTAAAAAATGATGATTATTCCTAAAGATGACACATAAAATTAGTTATTATACAGGGTGCTCCCGTTAAATGGCCAAATTTGAAATGTGAATTTAGGAAACAAAAAAAAATTTTCCTCTGGAAGTATGTTCGCAAACGTTTCGTTCAAAAGATATTGACTTCTTAAATTATAGAACTATAGGAATGAATAATATCGAAATAATCTAAGTTTATCCTTTTTATTGTTTTACAGTAATCAAAATTTAATTATGAAATGTTTTGTTCAAAATGATGGCCTCCAGTCCGGGGACAAGCATTGAACCTATCGATGAGAGAACGAATGGCTGACTGACATTGTGCGTCTGTAATTTCTTTGCATATTTCCACTATCCTCCGTTTTAATGATTGTCAATTTTGTTTTAGTTTTGTTTACAGTGCAAACATAAACCTGTTAATGGCCTTCCATCTTCAAAACAAAAAAAGAGACATTTCGACATTATTCATTTCTATAGTTCTGTAACTTAAGAAGTCAATATCTCTTGAACGAAACTTTTGCGAGCATACGTCCAAAGGAAAATTATTTTTGTCTTGAGGTCCTAAATTCATATTTCAAGTTTGGCCATTTAACCCCAAAGCATATGCTATATATCAAACAGCAAATTTGATTAACGTTATATTGTTTTTAAGTATTTTGATATGCAATTTATATAATGAGGCACGTCAAATATTACTTTCATATGTCTAATTTATTCAAAGACGTGCTATCTGAACTGATATCTGACGCGTCTCTGAATTTTTAAACTTAAGTCTTTCGTTGATGAAAGTGACGTAAGTAATAAAAAATTATGTAAACATACAAAGTAATAATTGTAACATATCGATATTTAGCTTTTAATATGATATCTTTTATCGTGTCAACTATTAATTAAAAGTTTAACAGATATATCATGCACAAAGATCTGATTACTAGTTTAAATAGTAGGAGCTTTATCAGAAAGGCCCGATGCTCTCAAGAGTGGATGACATTCGTCTCGAAGACCAAACGTACGCTATGAGTGCGAACAATAGAATGAAACGTGTGAATTTGCGGTACAAAGGAAATGGCAAATACGCATGCGTGACTTCCGCGCAAGAAATTCTCTTTATAAATATATTTTCTTAAATAACACCAATTTTCTTAAATAACGCCTTGAAATTACTCCGCTATCAAATCGATCGCATAATTAGGGACTTTATTGCGAGAAACATTGTTAAACTGTGTATATTCTACTTTTGCCGCGTTCTATAGTTGTATCCGGCACTTTGTGAATTACACAAAATAATATGCAATTTATATTAAAATTTACACCAAAAAGAAAAAGAGGAATAAAATACTTGATCGACCAATGGAAAAAGAAGGGGATGTGTTCGAGTAACGAACATTCGTTATTTCACTATCATGTGCGTCCCAGACGTCGCAAGAAAATGATCTGTCTCGAGACTCAGTATTTTAATTTGAATAGGATTCTTCTGCTAGCTATTGGCGTATGGCCCTATAAACAATCGAACTTCACTCGATTTCAATTCATTTTAAAGCAAACTTTTATCTATGTTAACATTTTTATTATTCATTGATATATAATATGTTTTTTTAAATAGTATTTTCTGGCGAATATGATATTATAAAAGTTATTTAAAATAGATTCAACAACATAAAATAAAGAATTTGTGTTTGCGTGTGTGCGCGCGCGTTTATGACATCAGAAAAATAATTTTATAATGCAAACTTGTAAGTAAAATTACTATTTACAGTGTACACCATTTATTTCACAAAAATGTACTCCGGATTTCGTTGTCAAAGTTTTATCTTCCGCATCTTTCTTTGCTCTCTTTGTGATAAAATATATCATGTTCTACGTTAATATCAAAGCTGTGAGTATATAGCGTATAAAGTTGAGAGTTTACGGAATAATTTATAAGTTGAAGGCTACTCACACACACTAAACACATACAACAAACAGGAAAAATATTTTAGTTAAATAAATTCTTTTGTATAAACAATTTTTTTTATATGTCATTGTTATATATAAAAACGGTGTATAAAATTGTCCGAAACAACAGGTGAAAGATTTACTGGAGCAGTTACAGCATATACATAATGAGTTAAAAGACAAAAATGAATTTGCTATCATAAACGCATATGGATGCAGTGCCAAACGTTGTACCGCCGCACTTACGAATAAGATGTTTTTAGATTTTCAAAACGGTCACGCTTCCTTTTTAACTCGTAAAAACTGTCGAAGTTTCAGCAGATAATCGATTCAGATACAATATGCAACAATTTCTTTATATATCACATATATATGATATATCAATTATGTGTGGGGCGATGCGTGGCGCCGGGCGTAGAGTCGCAGGCTAGGCTGGTAATCGAGAGATTCCAGGGTCGATTCCGCTCGGATCCCATCCTCCCATATGACTCAAAAAGAGGTTTTCACAAATATTCCTATGTAATGTTTATATTGGTTTATAATATATTATCCTATCTAATACCTATATTAAGTTTATCATATATTATCCTATCTAATACTTATACCTAGTTAATGGTGTATAGACAATTCCTTTCGGAAAGTCTCCCAGCCATATCAGAGAAGAAGAAGAAGAAGAAGAATTATGTGTACCAAAACATTTGTGACACACACGCATTTATAATGATTTGTAACAAATAGAGATGTAAAAAAACAGTTTTTTTTCTAATAGAAAACAAACATTGAAAAAAAACTTTTTCATAAAAAAAAAATTTCGTTCCGTTATTTTTTAAAATATAATATTATTTTCTTTCATATCTTTTTGTTAATATAATAAAAAACTAAAGTTCTTATATTTTTAATTTATCTTTTCGGAAAATAATTTTAATGAATTAATGAGACTTTTGTGGTAATAAATAGGAATGTAAAAAACTTTTTTTTCTGATAGAAAACAAACGGTGAAAAAACATGCTTTTTTTATTAAAAGATAACAAATTTGTTTTTTTTTATTATTTTTCTAAATATAATATTATTTTTTGTCATATTTTTTTGTTAATATAATAAAAAATATAACAAATAAAAATTACAAATTATTTACATATTATTTAATAATTAAATAAATAAAATTACAAATTACAAATAAAATTATAAATTATTATACATACAAAAACTGTGTGTTTTTATAATACAGATAATTCCTTCAACCTTAATTTTCATTTGTTTTCGGAAAATTTACCCAAATAGAAATATTAATTACATAATTTTATAGTCAATTGGAATGCGATCCACATTTAAAATAATGGTGGTTAGTTCAAACTTATCCAAAAAATTAAAAACAACGAAAAATGAACTTGCAATAATCAAAATATAAAGATGGAAATATTTGGAAAAAAAATGGATAAAAAAACAAAAATTGTTGTTTTTTTCAAAAAAATCACGCACACACACACACAAGTATATTTAAATCGAATAAAATTATAGAGAAAGTTCAAATGTGCAATCAATTACACAAAATAAAAATCGATCAGTTCGATTAATAACAATTTATTAAAACTTATAATGCATAAATGAGCTTCAAATAGTATAAACCAACTTTAGGAAGATTATATGACAAAAATTTGAATAACAATTGTTCTTTAACGCTTTTAGTATGTGCTATTTGCAGCATATTTGCTCTTATCATCGCTGAGTTTTGGTCGAGAATCCTCGATATTATATTACCAATGAACGTATCTCGATCGTATAGCTTACCGATTACAATGGAATACTTCGTCGATCAAGAAACATATTCCTATTGGATTCTGCTATATTTTAATGTATCATTCTGCATCGGAGCAACTGCAATGGTAGGAATAGGAGCAACGCTTATTGCGTATCTTCAACATACCTGTGGCATGGTTAAAATTTCCAGGTGAAAAACAAACATAGAATTACAAAGTTTCGAGTTTTATATAAAATTCTTTTGTTATCTTGAACAAATCTAGTGCCTTTTTTACAAAGCCAAAAAAATGTACAGTTTGATAAACATTTTAATTACAGTTATCGTATTAAACGCGCTATGCACATTAATATGTTAAAAAATAATAAACTTAACAATGAAATTTTAATATTGCAAAGGATAATTAGTGTCGTAAATATTCATCGGCAAGCTATGAAGTTAGTATCTCTATTCGGCGATATATATAAATATAAATATATATATATAGGGGAAAGTAGGGTAAAACCGGGTACTTTTTTGGATTTGACTTCCAACAAAAAATCAGAGTAAAAATAATTTTGCTGACCATTAGTAGTCTTTAGTGGACCCTAAACCGTGAGAAAATGACGCTAGTTGCTGAAAAAAAAAATTTGGTTACCAATGATAATAAGATTTTTTGGAGAAGTCAAAATACCCGGTTTTGCTCTACCGGTAGGGTAAAACCAGGTACCCATTTTAAAACATGTAAAACACCGTGCAATTACAAAATCTAGATTTATTTTAATCAAAATACAATATAAAGATGTATTGTATTGACAAAAATCAGAAATAAAGATATCCTCTTGTTCGACATTGCTGCAGGACTTCCTTATTTAATTTTTTAACTTTAGGGATCTCAAAAAGCTTTTTTTTTTAGTGGTTTCTTTTTCTGAGTATTAGTTTTCGTTTCCAACTACTTTTTGTAGAGAGACAAAGTCAGGATAACAGTTTTTCCTCTTTTCATTACATGAGATATGTAAGTACTCGGTTTTGCTCCAACACAAGGAAAGTAACAAATGCGGTTGTATATTCCGGCCTACAAAGTGACAATCAAAACTAGTGTAGATGTACTCTCTAATATGTACAGAATATGCAATGCTGCATTTATTGAAGCAGATGTTCTGTGTAGAAAAAGTCCATAACGACTCAATTGTTGTCCCAATTTTTTTTGGCCCGAAAATTTTGAACTTCTCTCAAAAAAGAAATATCGTGTGCACATGGGCACGGTTCATCTCAAAATAATGTTGGCATCAATATTTCTAGTAAGTTTTGTGTTATGTCTTTATATCTACTATTCTCAAACAATACTTAATACATATTTCATGATATATTGTGTGTACTTTATATCAAGGAAGTATGTTTTTTTTTCTTCTTTTCTCTCCCTCTCTCTTTGTCTTTTTACTCTCTCTCTCTCTTTTTCTTGCTGACATCTTTGATTTTGTAAAACATACGATTTTTATCTTTATTAGATCAATTGTAATCGCTCGCAAATTAATAAGTTTGATCGTGAATAAAATGTTTAGCGAATGCAAGAAATGCAGATGGAAATCCGTTACAACCGCGATCTTGTGTTTTAGATTTTTCAAATCGCATCATACGGAGATGATGTCAAGGAAATTTTATTTCCCTTTACATTTGTAACAATTTGTATCTTATACATGTTTATAGCCAATTATGTTGCGCAGGATTTAACAGATCACAATAATGACCTTTTTGCTACTGTGTAAGAAACATTGTTTTAGACAAATTGTATGAAATTTCGCATCTTAAAGAATGTTTGATTAAATGCACAGAGGTCAATGTTGTCGCGTAGGAATATACAATCTATCTTTATATGATTGCGTAGATACAACGTTCAGTGGCATGAAGCTCCGTTACGTATACAAAAAATGATACTATTTATGCTACAAAAAGGGGCCAAAGATTTTACTGTAGGTGTCGGTGGACTATTTGTTGGATCGTTGGAATGTTTCGCCACGGTAAATAACATAAATATATTATCAAAATATACATACGAGGCAACATATTACAAATAAATGTTACAGCTGGTAAAAACTTCGGTTTCTTATTTTACTGTCATATATTCAACGCAATAATAAGGTAAGAAGGAAAATAATAGCAAATAAATTATAATCTGGCAAAAATTTAGTCAAGTAAACTTCAATATTACAATTATATTACATTTAAAAATTAAAAGTGATTTATTATTAATCCTATAGTTTGTATTTCAATAGTCATAAGAGATCTCCGAAAATAAATATATTTATTTAAAGATAAAAAATATATATTTAGAAAAAACATTTAAATATTCATATTTATAAAATATATATTAAAAGAAAAAAATTACATTTAATTAAAAATATTACATAATTATATTTTTAATACATCAAAAAATTGAGTATTCTTTGATTTATTCGAATATAGGTAATTATTCAGTTTAGGGTCCTCACCTCAAATATTGATGAAATTATGCTCATTCGATGCGTTTTTGCATAAAACGAAATTAATGTACCAAATTATTTTAACATATACAATGAAGTGTAATAAGTGTAATAATGATGTAAATATTGATAAAGAAAATTATTGCATCAATGTAAAAACGAAACATGTCTTCAGGCAGTACCTGTACTTGATTTCGATTCGCATGTGGTCATAGAACATACTCATGTCGCTGCATTTCGTCGGTATGACAGGTTTTGTAACCTAAATAATCGTCAACTTTAACTATTAATATTTCGCTTCGCGGGGCAGAGCGACGCTTTTTCTGCTATATTCTTTCGTTTTATGCAAAAACGCATCGAATGAGCATAATTTCATCGATATTTGAGGTGAGGACGCTAAACTGAATAATTACCCGAATATAAAACACGAAATATAAAACACTGATTCAAATTCTCTTTTACATTATTCTCCAATTTCATCTTAATTTTTGCGATATATTTAAGGTGACATTACTTTTAATGAATAATTTATATATTGTTAATGTTTGCCAAACCTTTTTTATAACTTATTTTTTTTTTTATAATAAATGACCTATGTGCAAATGAAATATCAAGATTTGAGAAATAAAACTGTTTTTAATAAGAATCATATTACTTTTAGGTACAATTTGATAATTTAAATGTCTTGTATCTGCAAAGCTAAAAGGGATGATTATTCTTAAAGAAAACACACAAAATTAGAACTTAATAATCAATGGAAATAGAAATAGCAACCAGCGCAATATATACGGCGCAAATAAATTTATTAAAACCTCAATGGTACAAAGATACGCGAATGTTTTGGTCCTTTTTTTGGACCATCTTCAGCGCGTAAGAAGTTATATAAGATATATAAGTAAAGAGAAAGCAGAATTTGGTGTTAAAAACAGGAATTGATAATAAACTCACAGACATATACCGGAACATATGAGATAGTAGTAAAAAACTCAAAAACTGTCATTGTAGTCAAAGATAAAACGCCGAAAAACATGTCAACAGAAAACCTTTGTATCGATGCCCATCATCTACTGGACGTGTCCCTCCATAGTTGGATGACCGTGGAGTAGAGTAGGACATAGGATAGAATGAGATCCGTCATCCAAACCCGTTAATGTAGCATTAAAATGCATGTCGCTATATATCGAGCACTATCAATGCAGCACATTCAATAAAAAAGCACGTTGTAACATATGTCAGATAATAAAATCAATAAATTAAAATAAATAAAAATAAAAAATAAAAATAATATAAATAAATTAACTAGATACAATAAAATCTTTAATTGACTAGACGAGAAGGTAGTTAAAATCAAACATCTTGACTACAATGACAGTTTCTTAGTTTTTTATCTTATATGTTCCGATATATGTCTGCAAGTTTATTATCGATTCCTATTTTTAACACCGATTTCCGCTGTCTCTTTACTTATATATCTTAATTTTTTACGCGCTGAATATGGTCCAAAAAAAGGACCGAAACGTTCACGTATCTTTGTACCATTGAGGTCTTAATAAATTCATTTGCGCCGTATATATTGTGCTGGCTCCTGATTACCATTTTTATTTCTATTGATTATTAAGTTTTAATTTTTCGGAGCCTTTAGTTTTTTATCGTATTATGACATAAAATTAGCTATTATACAAGTTGTCCCATTTTAAATGCCGCAGGCAAATATCTCGAAAAATATGGAAGATACGGAAAAATGTTTCAGACAAAAGTTGCTTGGTTTGAAGGCTAGGTCAGGGACTTGGCCTTGAAAAGGTCACTCAAGGTCAAGTCTATCATTCATCATGTAACCCCCTTCAAACCAAGCAACTTTTGTCTGAAACATTTTTCCGTATATTCCATATTTTTCGAAATATTTGCCTGCGGCATTTAAAATGGGACTTCCTGTATATGCTATTGTACATCAAATAACAGATTTGATTAACGTTACATTGTTTTTAAGCATCTTGATTTTTCGTATATCCGATTTATAAATAATAATAAAACACGTCAAATATTAAACAATTAAACTGTGACGTCAAATATTATTTTTATATGTCTAATTTATTCTTAGTGCTAACATCTTTGAATTTTTAAATTTAAGTCTTTTGTTGATCAAAGTGACGTAAGTAATAAAGAATTATGTAAACATACAAAGTAATAGTTGGTAATTGTAACATGTTGATATTTAGCTTTTAAAATGATAATTTTCATCGCGTCGATTGCTAATTAAAAGTTTAACAGATATAGCATGCACAAAGATCTTATCACTAGTTTAAATAATATGAGCTTTACTAAAAAGGCCCGATGCTCTCAAGAGTGAATGACATTCGTCTCGAAGACCAAACGTACGTCATGAGTGCGGACAATAGAATGAAAGGTGTAAGTCTGCAATACAAAAAAAGTTGCGAATACGCATGCGCGACTTTCGCGCAAGAAATTCTCTTTATAAACATCTTTTCTCTCATTTTCTTAAATAACACCCTGAAATTACTCCGCTATCAAGTATCGATCGTATGATTAGGGACTTCATTGCGAAAAACATTGTTAAACTGTGTTTCTACTTTTGCCGCGTTCTAGAGTTCTATCGGCATTTTGTGAATTACACGAAATTATATGCAATTTGTGTTAAAATTTACGCCAGAAGAGAAAAAGAATATAATATTTGGTCGACCAATGGAAAAAGAAGGGGATGTGTGTACTTTCGTTACTTCACTATCATATGCGTCTCAGACGTCGCAGGAAAATGATCTCTCTCGAGACTCAGTATTTTAATCTGAATAGGATTCTTCTGCTCGCTATTGGCGTATGGCCCTATAAACAAACGAACTTCACTCGACTTCAATTCAAGTTTTTGTCTACTATTTTAACTACAAGTCTTATATTTCAGGCAAGCTCTAATATATCTAATGATATTATTAATATATGTATAAGAAAATGTTGCAAATAAGCAGTTTTATACTATATATGTAACTTATATATTTTACAATTTAGATTAGAAGGAAATTATATTAACTATAAATTATAACTGTATATAGTCACACATAGAAGTTTGCACTTATTGTTTAATTTTACATTTTAAATAATTAATATATGTATATATATATATATATATATATATACACATACACACTGTTGAACAATTAAGTTTCGAGACTCGCTTCGCATTTCCGAACGTTTGATCCGTTTGTACTACCATTTTAGGAGGTTATTCACAACTCAATACTCAACACGTGGTGCAAGTTTTAAATTACTTAGTTCAATAGTTAATGAGATATAGTTACGTGAACTTGTGTTACAAAATTTTATTTAAAAATCGGTATAATGGAAGGAACGCTTGACAACGCGCCAACATTAAATTCTACGTTAAATTAGAGAAATCGCCAACAGAAACGTTACAAATGATTCAACAAATCTACGGAGAGTCAGCTATGCATAAAAGTAACATTTCGAAGATACAGGTGACAAAAAAAACGTGAATCAAATTTTGAAAGGGCTTGCTTCAGAGGACTATCAGAGCTGCATTGCTGCTTTGACCAATGACTAGAGCTGTCATCCGTCCGATTTTCCCCGGATTTGTCCTAGTTTTTCGAGCTCCTGAGAACGTCCGGAAGGATTTTTTAAAGTAGTCCGGGTTTTTTGAGCGGATGACACAAGACGATGCGCGCGTCATATTTTGAGGCTGTGTCTGTGTATATTGTACGTGCGGTATTGTCGGAGCCTTAGGGCGTTGGAATCATTGACTGCGAAAAAAATAATGTTGTAGTCTTACATTATTACTATTATTAATAATACTTAATAATAATGATTATTAATAATATTGGATAAAATTCCGAAAAATACTCACCCCCGATTTTTTTGAAACTCAATATTCTTACGTATTTTGATGCGCTGATTACGAATATCATGAAAATTGGCGACTATTTGATTTTTATGGTGAAAACTATGAAAAACCCATAAAAATTATAGTTTTTTACGCTAATCTCAGTAAATACGGAAAATCATGATAAATGTTTTAGACAAAAGTTTTAGATCTCACAGAGATAAACATTTTATGTCCCATTCATTTTTACCGTACAAGTGATAGTTTTTGAGAAAATCAAAGTTAAACATATATCTCAAACCAATTGCTGTATAGGTGAAACTACAAAGGCTGACAGTACTGCGTAGAAGTCCCAATATATAACCTCGCTTTGCATGGAAAAGTGTATGCGTGGAAACAGTGGGTTCCGCCCTCCTGCGGAGGGCTCCACTACCAAAAAACTAGACGAATAGGTTTGCGTGGAACCTTGCTTTGCGTGGAAAGTTGCAAACCCATATGGAATCGTATATGTACTGCAAAGTACATGCTTAGATGGGAGGACAGATATAAGATTTAGAGTCCATTGTTTTTGTCGAAAACTATCATTCGTACGATAAAAATGAATAGGACATAAAATGTTTATCTCTGTGAGATCTAAAACATTTATCATGATTTTCCGTATTTACTGAGATAAGCGTAAAAAACTATAATTTTTATGGGTTTTTCATGGTTTTCACCATGAAAATCAAATAGTCGCCAATTTTCACTATGATATTCGTAATCAGCGCATCAAAATACGTAAGAATAATTGAGAATGAGTTTCAAAAAAATCGGGGGTGAGTACTTTTCGGAACTACATCCATAATATTAATGATTATTAATAATTAAAATAAAAATTATTCTGTTTTTATCGCTTTATCAGCAGTTGCAATAATTTCACATTATGAATTATGGCTGTCTGGGTCTTAATTGGAAAAGTCCGGGGTTTTAAACCGTTCAGTCCTAGGTCTGTATAATTACAGATGGCAGCTCTAGCAATGACGGAGACGTTGAACCATAGACATAGTTATTTAGACCGAGCGTTTGCCTTTATTTAAGGAGTAGGGGTAAAGATATAAGTAGAAAAGAACATACTCTGTTCCGTGCTCCTTGCGTTCTCTCTCGCTCGCACATAGCATAACGTACTCTTTTGCTACGCAACATGCAAGCGAGAGAGAACGCAAGGAGCACGGAACAGAGTATGTCCTTTTCTACGTGTACTTTGGCCCTCACTCCTCAACACTCGGTTTAGGTATACTATGTCTATGCGTTGAACTAACAATAAGTGTGTCGAATTAGGCGGTGACTATATTGAAACTTTTTAACTGTCTAAGCTTTGTACGATTAAAATTAAACTTTTATACGAAAGTCTCGAAACTTAATTATTCCACAGTGTATATATATATACAAATTTTTATTATGTTATTGAGAAAGCAAACTTTTACCTATATTGATATTTTTATTATTCATTTACACATAATTTTTCTTATAAATAGTATTTTTCAACAAATACAATATTATAAAAGCTATTTAAAATAGGTTTAATAACACAAAACAAAAAATTTGTGTGTGCCTGTGTGCTTGCGCGCTTATGACTTTAGAAAAATAATTTTTTTATGCAAACTCGTAAGTAAAATTAATATTTACAGTGTACTCCATTTATTTCATATAAATGTACTTTGGATTTCGTCGTCAAAATTTTATCTTCCGCATCTATGTTTGCTATCGTTGTGGTAAAATATAATATGTTCTATGCCAATATCGAAACTGTAAGTAGGTGGCTTACAAAAGTTGAATGTTTACAGGATAACTTATGAGTTGACGGCTTATTCACACACACAACACACACAACACACACAATACACACAACACACATAACATACATAACATATACAACACACACAACACACACAACACACACAACACACACACAACACACAACACACACAATACACTCAACACACACAACATACACACAACACACACGACACACACGACACGCAATACAACACGCACACATGCAATACAACACGCACGCACGCACGCACGCAATACAACATATACAACAAACAGGAAAAATATTTTAGTCAAATAAATTTCTGTACAAACAATTTTTTGAATATGTCACTATTATATATGTTAAAGCGGTGTACAAAATTGTCCAAAACAACAGGTAAAAGGTTTACTGGAGCAGCTACAGCATATATATAATGAGTTAAAAGACAAAAATGAATTTGCTATCATAATCGCATATGGATGCAATGCCAAATGTTGCACCGCTGTACTTACTAGTAAGATCTTTTTAAATTTTCAAATAAGGTCACATTTCTTTTGTAACGTGCAGGAGCTGTCAAGGTTTCAGCGGAAAATCAAGTCGAATAGAGTATGCAACAGTCTTTCTATAATATCACATATGCATATATGATATATCAATTATGTCTATCAAAACATTTGTGACACACGCATTTATAATGATCAGTAATAACAAAGACATAAAAATTTTTTTTTAATAGAAAACAAACGTTGAGAATAACACGCTTTATATATATATATATATATATATATATATATATATATATATAAAGCGTGTTATTCTCAACGTTTGTTAGTAAATATATACTATACTATTTACAATTACGCTATACTATTTACAATGCAACATGCGGGAGCGGTGCGCACAGAAGTTTGCCGTAGCGGTTCTACGCGTTGGCTGGTGCGCGTGGAGCTTGGGAAGCTTTAGAAGGACTAGCGCGCTTGTATAGTCTGAAGGCTGTATGTAAAGGTGGAGTCGGCGCGACACTGGTGGCTATCCTACTACGTTCAATTAACTTTACAAGTACAATGCGCGGTATATACAGTGCGGTCTTACGGTACAAACAGGTCGCGATATATACAAACGGTGCTAGAGTCCCTGCGGACGCGGAGACCAAGCGTTCTTACGGTACAAACAGGTCGCGGTATATACAAACGGTCTTACGGTATAACGCGGTACGGACTTATCAACTAGCAGGAGGCGCCGTCCCAGCAACCGGGAAGCCCGGCCTAACTACGGGAAGCCCGTAGCCTTCTGTAATGCGGTGTATCAGAATGCGCCATCCCAGCAACCGGGAAGCCCGGCCTAACTACGGGAAGCCCGTAGCCCGGTGTAACGCGAGATATCAGGGTGCGCCATCCCAGCAACCGGGAAGCCCGGCCTAACTACGGGAAGCCCGTAGCCTGGTATAACGCGAAAGTCAGTTCAGGATCCGGAGAGTTGTACGTGACAGAAATCGGGATCGGGAACTGGTAACGCTACGCTCGTCGGAGCGCCTTATATACCGACGGCCGGCCTCCCACTCACGCGAGTCGGCGCGTGGTGGGGCGGCTCCATGGTGGGGCCGAGACACGGGTGTGGGAGCTTAGGGGCGCCATAGGCGCCGAGCCTCAGAATGCGGGCGGCTGGTCGGCCCGCGAGGCTAGTAACGTATCGTTACAACCAAAAAATAAAAATATAAATATCTAGAAAAAATCAAGGCTTGTTTTTTCAAAAAAATTGTATTTTATAAAAACACAATTTGTTTTTTTTAAATTTATATTTCTAGTAGGTACAAACATATACATATATCTATAAATCAAATAAAATTGTAAAAAAGATTCAAATGCAATCTATTATACAATATAAAAATCGATTACAAGATTAATTGGTTAATATCACTATGGTTGGATTAATATCAATATGTTAAAATTTATGTTGCATGAATGAACTTGAAATAGCATGAACTAACTTAAGAAAATTGTATGACAAAAATTTGAATAACAATTGCTCTCTAACGCTTTTAGTATGTGGTATTTGCAGCCTATGTGCTCTTATAGTTTTTGAGTTATGGTCGAGAATCTTCGATGTTATATTACCAATGAACGTATCTCGATCGTATAGCTTACCGGTTACAATGGAATACTTTGTCGATCAAGAAACATATTTCTATTGGATTCTGTTACATATTAATATATCGTTCTGCGTCGGAGCAACTGCAATGGTGGGAATAGGAACAACGCTTATTGCGTATTTTCAACATATGTGTGGTATGGTTAGAATATCTAGGTAAGACACGAACATAGAATTACGAAGATTCGCGTATCAAATAAAATACTTTTGTTATCTTGAACAAATTTAGTGCTTCTTTCATAAAGGCAAAAAAACTGTTCGATAAATATATTAATTGCAGTTATCGTATTAAACGTGCCATGCAACTTAATACGTTAAAAAATAATAAATTTAAAAATGAGATTTTAATATTGAAAGGATTAATTAGTGCCGTAGATATTCATCGGCAAGCTATGAAGTTAGTATCTGTATTGGACGACATATATGTATACGCGTATATACAAGTATATAATATTTCTAATAATATCTTATGGTTTTTAAAGATTATCCAAACTTTTAGTATCCAAAATTGAGAAAATGTTGTTCAGTTTAATACTAGTCGGAGTGGTCTCTTTGAGTCTTAATCTTTTTCGAGTAAGTTTCGTGTTAAGTTTCTATATCCACTATTTTCACAAACAATACTTAATATATTCCATTATATTGTGATTCTCTCTCTCTCTCTCTCTTTCTTCTCTGTCTCTTTTCCCTCTCTCTTTTTCTTGCTGATATCTTTAATTTTATAAAATATACAATTTTTATCTTTATACAGTTCAATCATAATCGTTCACTAATTAATAAACTTTATCGTGAATAATGTTCAGGAAATGTAATAAATGCAGATGCAAATCCATTACAACCACAATCTTGTGTTTTAGATTTTTCAAATCGCATCATACGGAGGTGATATCAAGGAAATCTTACTTCCCTTTATATTTGTAACTATTTGTATCCTATATATGTTCGTAGCCAATTATATTGCGCAGGATTTAACAGATCATAATAATGATCTCTTTGCTATCGTGTAAGAGACATTATTTTATACAAATTGTATGAAATCTCGTATCTTAAAGAGTTTTAGGTAAAACTGCATAATAACGGATCCAGCTCCAATGACCTTGATCTTGACATATGTTGTCAAGGTCATGACCCTGAGTAACCTGCAAAAAGTTTTAGCCATCGCACGTTTTTTATTAAAAAGTTATTAACAAAAACAATTTTAAAAATATAGCAGTTATTTTGAGTATTAAAAGGCATAAATGACTAATACCCACACGGAACAGAAACCTCTAATGGATATCCAGTAGACGTCCATCATGGAGATTCAAAACCTCTATTAGATGTCCATGTAATCTCCTATAGACATCTACTAGACATCCACAATTCCGCATTTCTTACTTCCATTCGACATCCATTAGACGTATTCATAGATGTCACATGGACATCATATGATATAATCATGGATATTTCATAGAGCTTTGATGGATGAATAATAGCCTTCAAGACACACCAATATCCCAATAAAGTCACATCTTAAATTGTAAGACGGTAACATTCCACGGAGATTAATAAACCTGCCATCAACTTCCCAGCGACATGAAAATGTTCGTCCAAACACTCCAAACTCATTCCATTAACATCCCAGAGACTTTGCGCGTAACGTTGTATTAATATTGATACAACATGTCACAAAACTCCTAATATTATTTTTCATAAGGAACTTTTGCAAAAAAAATATTATGTAAAAATATAATCATTTTTTCACTAATAATTGAATAGTTCAAACTTTTTTCTTTTTATATAGAATCCCGCAGAAAATCCGAAAAATATTTGGATATAGATAAACATTCACATCAAATTCAATTATTAATCTTAAACGATATCTCATAATTTTGTAATATTTTCAGTATACGCGAAAAGTGAAATGATTGCGCGTAAGGTTGTTGAAATATTGAAATAAGATTCCATTAATCTTCATACATATAATATTATAAAGTAAGATTTTATAGGTTAGTGGTGTATACCAGTACAAAGAAAAAAAAGAGTTTGAACTATTTAATGATTGGTGAAAAAACGATTGAAAGCTGTTGAAAACCGATAGTGTTTAATCGATTTTTGGCAATATAATATTTTTTTGCAAGGGTTCTTATTAAAAATAATATTAGATTAAGTTCTTTTTCTGGCATGTTGTATGAATATTAATAAAACGTTACGCGCAAGGTCCCCATTAAAATTTTATTAATTATATTTTAGAGTTTAGTAAAAAATTTTAATAAAAATTTAAAATGTATATAAATTAAAAATAGAATATGTAATATTACACATTTTTAAGTATACTCTCAAAACAGCTAAGAATTTTAAATAATACTTAAAATAAAAATTAAAAATTAAAATTACTTAAAATAAAAATTAAATTTTGTTTTATTAGAAACATACTTGTATAAATCTATCATACATGTATGTGGAAATAGTACATATATACACTTTCTCACCCACACAAGAATTGGGGTAGACCTCGCTTCGCGTTGTAAAGTATATACGTGGACGCAGTGGGTTCCGCCCCTCTCCTACGGGGGGGCTCCACTTTCGGAAGATATAACCTAACCCAAAATAAATTGTAGTTTTAAATTAGAATAGGTTTGGGTTAAGTTATATCTTCCGAAAATGGAGCCCCCCCGTAGGGGGGGCGCAACCCATTGTGTCCATGCATACACTTTCCAACCCACACAAGAATTGTGAGGTGAATATATTTAAGAAAAGTTTAAGTACATGGTATCAGAAAAATTACATTTTATTTAGTTAACTCTTTTTGTTAATAATTTTTTAATAAACAACGAGCGACGCTTAAAACTTTTTGGAGGATACCCAGGACAACATATGTTAAGGTCAAGGTCATTGGACCTGAGTCCGTTATTATGCAGTTTTACCGTGTTTTATTAAATGCAAAGAGGTCAATGTTATTGCCTAGAAATATACGTATATGCTATCTTTACATGATTGCGTAGGTACGACGTTCAATGGTATGAAGTTCCATTACACATACAGAAACTGATACTATTTCTGCTACAAAAAGGAACAAAAAAATTTACTGTAAGTATCGGTGGATTATTTGTCGGATCGTTGGAGTGTTTCGCCACGGTAAATAACAAATATATTATCAAAATATACATACGAGGCAACAAATTACGAATAAATGTTACAGTTGGTGAAAACTTCGGTTTCTTATTTTACTGTAATATATTCAACGCAATAATAAGGTAAGAAGAAAAATAATAGTGAATAAATTATAATCTGGCAAAAATTTAGTTAACTAAAAATCTCAATATTAGAATTATATTACATTTAAAAGTTAAAATTGGTTTATTATTAATCCTATGGTTTGTATTTGAATAGTCATAAGAGATCTATGAAAATAAATATATTTAATTAAAGATACAAAATATATTTAAAAAATATATTTAAAATTATATTTAAAAATTTATATTTATAACAAATATACATATAATTAAGATATATAAAAAGAAAAAAAAAATACACATTTAATTAAAGATATTACATATATTTCCAATAATATCAAAAAATTCATCAAAAACATTAAAAAATTGTGCATTCCTTGATTTATTTGAATATAAAACACGAAATAAAACATTGATACAAGTTTACACACTTTGTTTTAAATTATTCTCTTAAATTTTATCTTAACTCTTGCGATACATGTATTGTCACATTACTTTTAATAAATAATTTATATATTATTAATGCTTGCCAAACTTTTTTTATAGCTTAAATTTTTTATAATAAATGACCTATATGCAAATAAAATATTAATATTTGAAAAATAAAACCGTCTTCAATAAAAATCATATTATTTTTGGATATAACTTAATAATTAAATGTCTTGTGTATGTAAAGCTAGAAAAGATGATAATTGTTAAAAATGACACAGAATTAATAATTATATATGTATATATTATTTAATTGATTTGCTAACGTTATGTCGTTTTTAAGCATTTTGATTTTTCGTGATTTATGCAATTTGTGTAATGAGACATGTCAAATACTATTTTCGGTAAATATTAACAAAAGAGGACCCAGCCTCAATGACCTTGACCTTGACATATGTTATCAAGGTCATCGCCCTGAATAATTCTCAAAAGGTTGTAGCCATCGTTCGTTATCCATTAAAAATTTATTAATAAACAAAGATTTGTAAAAATCAAGGTTTGTACATAGTCTGATAATGAAAAACTTGATATTAAACTTATGTTAGTTTATAAAAATAGTCTTATCCATACTACACACATACATATAAATAAACATGCAAATTATTATATAGGGTGTTCAAAAATAAAATATTAGTATGTTGAATTAATTATTTATTGGATATAATCTGCTCATCCATTCCAAGAAAAAAAAACCATTAATACGCTTATCAAAAGTATAGTCTTTTGAATAAAAATTCAGCATTTTGTCTTTCAAAGATTTCTTACTAAGTTGTTGACATTATTTTTCTGTAGAAGGACAATTCACCCCGAATAATGATTCATCTCTAAGAAGTGAGTTGGGTTAGGTTAGTTTCTTTCGAGATGGGGTGTAGGAGGAGAGGCGGAGCCCCTCGATGTGTTCGATTTACTACACATAAATAAATGAATTAAGTTATGCTTTATAAATAAATGTATTAAGTTATGCTTTATTAAATGTACATGATGTCTGAAAATCATATGATTATATAATAAATTATATAATTCATGGAAAATCGAGGAAATCCTTTTGTTAACAACTTTTCAATAAACAACAAGTGCTGGTTGAAACCTCCACAACATTACTTAAGGTGATGATCTTGGTAACATATTTCAAAATTTTCGAAATCGGAGATGGCTTTCTATACCTGCATAATTACCAAATTCAAATTATAGAATTAAATTCACACTTTTATATTGTCAACTTTATTTGTTAATAACTCTTTAGTAAACAACGAACGACGGCTAAAACCTTCTGAAGGTTACACAGGAGAGTAATTTCTATAATATACATATGTCAAGGTCTAGGTCATTGAAACTGTGTCCCCTTTTGTCAATATTTACCCTATTTCCATATGTCTAAATTATTCTTTAGTGTTAGCATCTTTGAATTTTTAAGTTTAGGTCTTTTGTTGATCAAAATGATAAAAATTTATGCAAACATATAAAGTGACAGTTGATAATTGTAACATGTCGATATTTAGCTTTTAAAATGATAACTTTCATCGCGCCGATTACTAATTAGAAGTTTAATACCATGATCATATACCATGCACAAAGATCTGATTACTAGTTCAAAATAGTACGAGCTGTACCAAAAAGGCCCGATGCTTTCAAGAATAAATGACATTCGCCTCGAAGACCAAACGTACCTTATGAGTGCGGACAATAGAAAAAAAAGTGAAAAAAGCGCCAAGTGCACGCGCATAAGCGTCTTTTGCTATAAAAAAACTTTTATACAAAATAGTGTTATTTTAATTATTTTAATACAAACCCTGCCGAAAATGGTCGATTAAAACGGATTAAAAAAAAATGTAATCCGAATCGATCGGGATTTCTGCACCGAAAATGCGGTATTAAAACCGATTGAAAATAGTCAAATCGAATTTAGTACGCTTCAGGCGGGTTAATGTTGGATGATATACATCCATCTCGATCCGAAATTATACGATTTCATAAGTTATAATTAAACCTGTTTTAATGCAATTGAATTGCAATTTATCATAGTCAATCCATAGGTAAAAATAATCCCTTTTAATAAAAAGTTTTATCATTTCGCAGATGGAAAGTAAATTGATTTTATGTAGTGTGAAGTCGGATTTGCTGTACATATCTTATAATAAACATATTATAGAATACACACATCTCTTTCTTATAGATATATGTATTGCGATACTTTGTTCTGTTTTTACACGTAGCATAAATTACTTTTGTAATGTTTTAGTTTTCTCTAATATAAATGAGATATACCTGATCCAACTATCCACAAGTATTACGAAGAATTTTGCATCTTCACTTTTTTATAAATGAAAGCATACAAATACTGCACTCGGCATTTTGCAAACTTAACCTATACCTGTCAAAAAAAAGTATGGATGCAAGCAACATCACAAAGCGCCATTAGCGCAATCTTTCGTCAAAGACGCCAACCGTACAAGAATACATTGCCATTATTGCATGTGTGTTGTGTACGTGTATCCATACGTGTAGCATAATACCACTATATTCTATGCATGTTTTGTATACATATATAGCGGTAAAGGGGACGACGACGACGATGATGATGATGATGATGATGATGGTGACGTTTCTTACATGAAAATTTCCACATTTCGACTTTGCTTCGTAATATCTTTGTTTTATAGAACATGCAGAGCGAAAATAAAGGCACTTTCCTTATATAAATCGAACCCAAGCTATCGATTAAGCTTATCAAGAATTCGATCGGATCAGCCGTTATTCAGATCTGGTAATCTAAGGTACTCTCAACTATTCGACTCGCGTATAGATACCCGGAGTGCCTCGCTGTTACTACGCGCGGTCTTTGTTTCGCGTGACTTGGCGCGAGACACTACCGTGTCTCTTGATAAAACATGTAAATCTGCGGTACAAAGAAAGTGGCGAATGCGCATGCGCGACTTTCGCGCAAGACATTCTCTCTATATAAATATTTTTTCTCTCATTTTCTTAAATAACACCTCTTGAAATTACTCCGCTATCATATCGATCGCATAATTGGGGACTTTATTGCGAGAAACATTATTAAACTATGGATATTCTACCTTTATAGCGTCGTATAGTCGTATCAGCTTGCCTTACACGAAATTATATGTAATTTGTGTTAAAATTTACACCAGAAAAGAAAAGGAATAAAATACCTAGTCGATCAATGGAAAAAAAGAGGTGTGTGTACTTTCGTTACTTCACTATCATATATGTCCCAGACGTCGCAAGAAAATGATCCGTCTCGAGACTCAGTATTTTAATCTGAATAGGATTCTTCTGCTCGCTATTGGTTTATGGCCCTATCAACAATCGAACTTCACTCGATTTCAATTCATTTTCTTGTCTACTACTTTAATTACAAGTCTTATATTTCAAGTAAGCTTTAATATATATAATGATGTTATTAATATATAGGAAATTACTGCAAAACAGCAGTGTTATACCATACATATATTGGATGATTGCATAAGTTCGTGCCCGATTTTCATAGATGGCATTAAGTTACTGCTGGAATGGATTAACATAATAAAATAAAAAAATAAAAATTAGAAATAATTAATCCATTCCGTTTTCTTGTTTGAAGTAAAATAATTCCAAATTACTCCTGATGATATTTAATATTTTATTCCTATTCCTAATATTTTCTCTATTGTGCGCAAGGCCTTACTTTACTTCATAATTTACTGGCCTACCAAATTTCAACCTTCTGCCATTTTTTTTCTGAAATACAGCCAATTTTTAATTTTTTCCCCAAACTTTAGGGACCTCTAGCTCGGAGAAGGGTTCATTTGCGGACCCATGTTCATAGGAAAAAAAGTCTTATTTTGATCTCTAGAATATGCTCCTAAAGTTTAGTGCATCATTTCAGATACACCCTGCATAAATTTTTATTATTATTGAGAAAGCAAAATTTTATTTATATTAACATTTTTATTATTAATTTACTTATAATTTGTTTTTATAAGATCTTATAAGATTTTATAAGATTTTCTGACAAATATAGTATTATAATAGTTATTTAAAATAGATTCATTAACATAAAATAAAAAAGTTTTTGTGTACGTGTATGCGCGTGCGATTATAACTTTAAAAAAATAATTTTTTAATGCAAATTTGTAAGTAAAATTACTCTTTACAGTGTACACCATTTATTTCACAAAAATGTACTTCGTATTTCGTCACCAAAATTTTATCTTCCGCATCTATTTTCGCTCTCTTTGTGATAAAATATAATATGTTCAGTGTTAATATCAAAGCTGTGAGTATATAATATATAAAGTTGAAAACTTACTGATTATTTTATGAATTGATAATTTATTCAACACATACATCAAACAGGAAAAATATTATTTTCAAATAAATTCTTGAACAATTCTTTCACATTTTTCACTGTTATGTATAATAACGGTATATAAAATTATTTAAAAAACAGGTGAAAGATTTACTGAAGCAGCTACAGCTTATATGTAATGAATTAAAAGACAAAAACGAATTTGCTATCATAAACGAATATGGATGCAATGCTAAACGTTGTACCGCTGCACTTATCAGTAAGATCTTTTTAGATTTTCACAATACGATTACACTTTTTAACTCGCAAAAGTTCAGCAGAAAATCGGTTCACATACAATATGCAACACAGTCTCTTTATATATCACATATACAGGGTGTCCTAGACCACCCGTACACCCCTTTTCTTTCAAAAACTAAGCTTATTTTTCTTATTTTTGTTAATGTAATAAAGAAAAACTAGAGTTTATATATTTTTTATTTATCTTTTTTGAAAGTAATTTGTATGATTTAATGAGACTTTGCCGCAAATTACATCAAAGACGACATAAATTAGATAATTTTCAAATAGAAGCATAATAAAACAAGTAGAGTTGTGCAAATTAGAAACTTGCACATTGCTTCCTCATCATTTTATCTTACAAAGCTTAAGCTGCTTTAAGCATGCGGATTTTTCAATTTTTGCTTCCTCATAGAGAAAGCTTTGTGAGCGAAATAAAAATAAAAGTAATTTTTTTCACCGATCT